TAGTAAAAAAAAAAACGAGTTATCTCGTAGGTAAATATTACTTGTGTTATATTTTTCTTTTCTTTGAATTTTTTAATATTTATTTTTCGTCTAATTTTCTTTTCTACAAAACAAGTATAACTAGAGTCCATGACTTGTTTAATCTATAATTACATTCACACAATGATATCTCCATCATTCTTATATAAATACATAATCATCTAAATTTAAAGCAACACACAAATACAAATGATAACTTAGTTATTAAAAAAAAAAATTGTAATTCATTATAAAACAATACATTAGTACATTTTCAAATATATTAACATTATGCAAATTTAATCAAAAGTTGATACACTCTGTACCCATAAAAACTAACTATCATATCATACTCATACAAAGTTATTATCATATAATATAAATTTTAGACGACTTCAAAAAGATTAAATATTGAATTAGACATCAAAGTTGTGCACATGTCATACCACAACTCTCCAAGTACTTAACACTAAGATATTTAGTTTGATATATACACTCATAAGTGTCTAAGGTAAATTTCTAACTTACTTATCCAATAAAGTTCTTTTTGACACCTCGTTATATATCATTAGAAACATCATCAAACTCTCATTACTTAATCCTTTCATTTATGTGATTCTAGTGATAAGTGGAGTCAGAATATCTACTCGAATCTCAAATATATATTTCTACAAACAACAACAATACACACGAATATATCTTTTAATAATTTTCATATCACAACATAATTTTTAATGCACACAATATCACTAAGCATACCTCCTTTTGTATTCACAACCTATATTCCATCATTATAACAAAATATATTTTTGTTCTCATTTGACCTCTACATACTTTTTTATCATAATTTTTTGTATAAACATCATTTTTTACTAATTCTTACTTGTATTTCTTATATTTTTGAGCTTCAATTTGTGCATATGAAACTTTAAATTGAAGCTCAGAGTTGTTTTTTAATATTTTTAGAAATAATTGAATGAATTTGAAATCCTTGAACATATTTCACATCCACTTGTCAAAAATTGAATGGTTAAATGGATTATGTAGACAGTTCAATGTTCGTTTCTATCAAATTTTTTACATAATTGAATATTTAACATTACGTCAAATGTACTAGTAAAAAAAAAAGTGAAATTTAATCATTTTCAACGTTACATTAAATTGTTTGAGTGAAATTAAATCCAATAGCTATTACCATAATATTTTTAAACTTCAATTAACAAATGAAATCTAACACAATATTTTTAAATTATTCGAAATTCATCTTTACCTAACAAAATACACATGCATGAATCTTGGACTTCACATGCAAACTTCTCAAATTTGCATATAAATGCTCTAAAAATAGACAAAGAGAAGTTTACTCTATTAAAATTTTTTATCAATTAAAAATATTCTCTTATACTCAGGAGCACTAAGATGTATTTTGATCTATAAAAGACTAGGAATAGATTGAGAAAATTAAAGAAAAAAATAGAAAGATGTAATGATTTTGTAATAATAAAGTTTAAATTGTTAAAATTTTATATTTATAACACTTTTTAATTTAATCCATAAACTTTAAACTTTACGAACCTTAAATTGGATCTCATATAATCCAAACAAAAATATACTGAACCACAAAAGTGAATATCTTTACAATCTCTTTAAATATTTGTTTAGATCTAGGAGTGGAGAGTAAGATGGTCAAATTATTTGAATTAAAGAAAAAAATATGAAAAGAAAGAGAAATAAATAATTTAATTGATTAAAATATAGATAATAATTAGATAATTTAATCAATTAGAAAAATATCTTAAATTAAAAATTATGAATAAATATAAAATAAAAACTAAAAATGGTTAAATGTGAAGGAAAATACATTAATATATTTAATTATAATTTTAAAAATGTTAAAATTTGTATGAAAATATTTGTTTAACGTATGCATTGAAAAAAAAAACAACAACTAAGGAGAATGAAGAAAATGAGAAATGAATTAAAATATAAATTATTTATGCAATAAAAAAACAAAAGGTGAATAAAATAAAAATATATTTATTGTAAATATATTGTTAATGAATATAATGTTAATCTACAACGAAGATGATGAATAATAGTATATAAATTTAAATAATATTTTGAAACTTGTGAGTACTATGATTTCTATAACACTTGTATGGTTAGCGTGCAGTGAAGTTGGTTATGTTCAATTAAAAAAAGCAGTTAAAAAGACTCCACAGTCATATTATTAAAAATAAAATAATTTAATTTAGTGATGACTTAGAAATTAAATATTATTTCTTACATTTTTAAAATATATGAGCATTTTTTACAACACATATACCATCTAATAATAGATTTTTATTGTCATTAGAGAATTTGTGTATTCTACGTCGTTATATATTTGAGAATATTTGCAAAATTAAAAAATAGGATGTCTAAAAAATTACATAGATTAGACTTCTAACTCATTTTAAATATAGTGTAGGATTAAAAAAAAGTGTACATTTTAAATATAGTGTAAGTCTCATTACCAAAATTTAAATATTCTTATCTTTATTAAAAAAAATATAATGCACCTCTAAACAAGAAATATGCATGCAAGGAGATAAAAAATAATAATATTATACAAATTCTTTAAAAAAAGTCGTTAATTGAGAATAAAAATAAATAAATAAATAATATGGACGCTACAATTTGACATACTGACTTTTTATTAAAAATTGTATTTTTAGATATCAAAAATATTTTTAAAACCCGGCCGACTAAACCTAAGATAGAGATTTAAAAATTTAATTGGAATTTTACCGAATTAAATAAAATAATATTTTTATAATATCATAAAATATATGATAAATTTATTAATAATAATATTTTTATAATAATAATAATTATTATTATTATTATAAATTATAATAAAAAATTATAAATATAAAATATATTACAAAATAAAAAGTTATTAAAATAAGATAAAAATATAATAAAATAATAATTATTTATTATTGGCATAATTAATAAAATAAAAAATTAAAATATATTATATTTTTTATGGAAATAATTATATTAATTTTTTTTATCAAAAATACTTTTTTTCAATAAAATCGGTTTCATCTAAAAATGTAATCAATTTTTTTGATTTTATTAATTTGGTTTTTTATTTTTTAAATTTAATTAAAATTTGATTATTTAAAAATATCATACTAATTTTTAGTCCCATTATCGATTTAATCCATTAAACAAATCGATATAATCTAAATTTGAATCAATAGTTATACCAACAAAGAACGAGTTAAAAGTTGAAATTTAGATTTTGAACAACCTTTTAAAAATATTACTTTCATGAGAATGTAAAAAATTGGTCACATTTGTGAGTCTTCTGACTAAATCATGAATATATTTCTGTTCATTCAAAGAAAAAAGAATTGAATCGATAATGAAAGAAAAAGTTAGACACATATATGTAAAAAGTTAAAAAATAATAATATTATTAAAAAAAAAGCTCTTGGGACACATGCATGTACTTAGTATTGTGTACAAAAGAAAGGACGGGAAAAAAAGTAAAAAGACAAAATAAAAAACAAATAAGCAGATACAAGTCTTAATGTATTATACCGAGGGCATAATAGTAATATGGGTATTACAATTTGGTAGATTGATTTTTGAGTTAAAATTGCATGTGAAAGAGAAGAAAAGTAATTGGTGAAACCTAAAACTACATGTGAAAGAGGAGAAATATACTGAGGGCACGAAAATAATATAGATTTTAAGTTAAAACTGCATGCAAGAGCGGAGAAAACATCTTGGTGGAACCCAAAACTGCATGTGAGAGAGGAGAAATTAATTTTACAAATTAAATTATAAGATAAAAATTATTTATTATTTATATATTTTTTATCTATTAATTTATATGAAATTTTTAATAAGCTCCTTTATATTATGAATATAATATATTTTTACTTTTAAAGTAGTGGATCCTATTTATATATATATATATATATTTTTTTTTTTATTTATCACATATTTTCATTTATATATTTATTTCTCCTTATCTCTTTTTTTGTTTTTCTTCAAAACATCTTCATTTTTTTTCTTTATTGCTTGCAAATTTTCATCTACTCGTTCTATTTCATATGCTGAATTTATAAAAAGAAAAATCCAATGAAAATGATTTTCATTACACTCAAGAAACAATATTTTCACTTTCCCTGTTTTTACTCTCTTGTTCTGTAATCCCATGCAACTAGCAGGGCCGGGAGCATTAGATTTTACGTTTGAGGAGATGTGAAAAGGGTGGGAGAGGAGAGGGTGTGAACATCTCACGAACGTGCATGAATGGTGATGAGATCAGACTGCAGACAGTGATGCTGAAATCTCGTCAAGAGAGACAAAAAATGAAGATAGAAACTATAAATGAAATGAGAGAGAGGAGAGAGATGAATTGATGACGAGAGTGTTGTAGCCTTTGAACACGCAGGGTGGGGACTGAATCAAATCCTAGATACCCGAAAAGGATCACGAAATATCTGTGACCTGATTCTCTCTCTCTCTCTCTGGTTTTCTAAAATTCCTCGCCCACCAACCACCTTCGAATTCATTATCCATTTACTCTCTCTGTCTTATATATATATATATATATATACACACCATATCCTTAGCTTCATACAACTCTTGTGACTTCCAACTTATGTTTCTCTACTTTTCTCTCTTCATTTATACACGTCTTGTCACCCAACTCTTTTGTTTTTCCCTTCGTCCTCTTCTTCTCTACAATTAATATTATTGCAGCGTCCTTTATTAATTGCTTGCAACTCTGTGTATTAGTTTACCTTGTGCATGTATGTATGTTAGTATATAATAGTACTACTGTAATAGTAATAGGTTCTTCCCCGTTACTGCCATTTACTACTCATAAGAGAGAGGAAAACGAGGAGACAGTACCATTTATTCCTCTGCTTATTTATTAGAAAGTATCACCAACACAATAACAACAACAGCAACGCATGGCTGCAGGTTCTTCTTCAAATTGGGTCATGGAAAGTGCTCATGATGTTCCTCATGTTTTGGCCGTTGATGACAACCTTATTGATCGCAAACTCGTTGAGAAACTCCTCAGGAATTCCTCTTGCAAAGGTATACCTTTAGACTAGTTTTACACGTTTCTCTTGTTGAAAAATAAAAGTGCTCAGTAACACCTTTATGGGTGGTTCTGTGTGTTGTGTTTGATGCTTTCTTTTTGGGGTTCTGTTTGGGAAGTTGTTTTGAGTGGGCCTTTTTGTTGGTTGCTAATGCCATTCATTTGCTGCAGTTACAACTGCAGAAAATGGGCCAAGGGCATTGGAGCTATTGGGCTTGACAAGTGGGGGGCAGAACACAATGAACGATGTAAGACTTCATTTCAGATTAATCAATGTTTACCAACATATGACACTGTTATGTTTCTTAACTATGTATGATAATATCAAACATTTGTTGGAAAATGTTTACACCTTTAATAGATTTCAAACATCAGTTTCCTTTTGGAACATGGATTAATCAGGGTTCTGTTGCTCTACTACATTCATTTTTACCTAGCTGGTGGTAATACATGCTAACTAGTTAGACTATTTGCTGCTTTGTAGAGATCCAAAGTAAATTTGGTAATCACAGACTATTGCATGCCAGGAATGACAGGCTACGAGCTACTTAAGAAAATTAAGGTACTAGAGTTTCTTTTTTTTGGCACATAGATACCTTCAATAATATAATATTAATAGCCCCCACAATCTGCATTCTTTTTTAAGCAGGAATCATCTGTAATGAAGGAGGTTCCAGTAGTGATAATGTCCTCTGAGAACATACCAACGCGGATTAACAAGTAATTTCCAACATTCGCGATGTGTAGTGCTATATGCCATTGTTTGGTAACAGTTATTTGTCTTACTAAGTCTAGTTGTATTTTCTGTTATTAAGTGTGCTCTGTCGTTGCTCTGCTGAAAACAGGTGTATGGAAGAAGGAGCTCAGATGTTCATCTTAAAGCCCCTCAAACAATCTGATGTAAAAAAGCTGACATGTCAGTTAATGAATTGAGAAAGTGAAATGTCACTTTTAAGAGAGTCTAAGCAAGAAGGCAACTCTGAGAACTGTGGTCTGGTTGTGGGCAGAGCTCCAGAATCGTGAATTTATCATGGCCGTCTATTGCCAAAATCTATAGGCCTTAACCAGAATGCAGCCTCTGATTCTGGTAGTAGTTTAGGTGTAGGAATGCATTTCATTGTTTTGAAGATGCTTTACTTTCTTTCACTCTTTCTTGTATTGATCTACATATTCCAATTTATTAAATTTCCTAGAATATATTTCATGTTCGTTTTCAATGTTTGATTTGATCTGCTTGCTATTAGAGGTTCCACAATAAAAATAAAATAAAATTGTAAATCCCCCCAAATTCTCTTGCTGCAGAAAATGGTGGTTATGCAGATTGCAGACTTTTCATGTTGCCAAAGATGGCTGAACTGCCAAATCCATGAATTACAATTTGTTTACAATTTTCCAAAACCAAAAGAGATGCTGAATTACATCAAAACAACTCTTCCAAAATTTCAATTTGTTCATCTATCATGAAAAGAATTATGTAAAGCTAATCTACTATAGAGGAAAGATAAAGAACAAAAGTAAGAACTGAGAACCGTTTATTCATCCTTCTCAACCTTTCCTAAATCTTAAACCTCCAGAACAAAAATAACGTATGCATTGAATCCTATAATTTCTGGTTTGTGTTACCAATCAAAGTGCTTGCCATGGTGGTGATGGTGGCGATGTCTATGTTCATCCAAACCCAAGCACCGCACAACAGGGTAACATGAGACAAACATGCACCTCCCAATACCTCGGAACATGCATGATGCTGCACGACAGGGGCAGCGATAACATGTCACTACTATCTTGTTACTTTTCTTCACCCTACTACTCTTCCTCTTCATCTCCTTGCTACGCTTCTGCCTCTCAATTTGTTGATCCATTTCTACCATAAAAAAAGAAAAACACAAACCCAGAAACTATTATCAGTATCATAACCGAAAAAACAAGACTTTAATGTGAGGTTAACAAAAAAAATGTCTAGTTACCTTAAACTTTTGGTGGTAGGTTGAAGGCAGGCACCAGAAAATTTTAGTCAAGATGGTGAGGGAAACAGCATCGGATGCAGTGGCTGTTGGAGAAAGAAAAAGATAGTGACTCTATAAAAATATATAATAAACATGAAAATTGAAGCTAAGAATATTCGTTGAGAGGCTGCCACAGAGTGAGAGACATAGGAAGGTTTATTAGGGGCTAGTTGAGATCTGAACTAGAGACCCTTCTACGCGTTTTCGTCTTTTGATTTCATCATTCCAATCTTATTTATCTCTCTTTTTTAAATCTGTTTCGTGCTTTTACTACTTTTCTCATATTTTCTTTTTGGTTGTCCATCATGGCAGCTTTAATTATTGATTTCATTTTTCATCTTACAGGTTGCAATCAAATTCAATTATTATGATTATGAATGTGACTATTCGCGTTTCAATATGTTTATTTACATTCCATTTTAGCGTATAATTTTATCTTTCTTCTTTTGTTATTATTATTTTAGCTTTTCTTGAATAAAATTGAAAATGAACATTATTTCTGCTCATGTGTTTCCATTCACTTTTCATTTTTTGTTGTCAAAACATTTCCTCGTTTAAACAAAGTCATTTCTTTAGGCTTTAAAAAACTATAAAGCTTAATCTCTTTCAAAACTAGTGTTTTGAACCCAAGTTCCCAACCTAACCGAACCAAAGCATTCTAGACGGTTCTTGGTGAATATTATGTGATGTAAGTATACATAACAAGGGGTCACCCGGAGGTGCTAGAGAATATGACGTTAAAATAGGGTTATTCTAAATGTTCCAAAAATAGGTTAAAATAGATATGGTATTTAGAGTACCTCGAACAAATTAAAATAGATATCAAATTAAAAATTTATTTTAAGATGTCTAGTATTTATTAATTCAATTTTAATTATCAAATTGAACAAAGATAAAGTGGAAGTGATATAATTAGAGAGATAAAATATCAATAAGATAGAGATAAAATATTAACAATAAGGGGTGTAAGGAGAGTAATGCAGTGAAAAGAATATAAGGGAAAGAGGAGAGCACACAGTGGTTTATACTGATTGGGTATAGTCAACCCTACATCCAGTTCTCAGTCAACTCTTAACATAAGAGTGATCCCAATTCATTATCTTTTAAATTCAGTTCACAAATTATAATCAACTCACCAAAAAGTAAACTAATTTAAAAGACAATCACCTCCTTAGAAACTCACTAAAGATGAACACCTCCTTAAAATCCACTAGGGATGAATACATCTTCTGAATAAATCAAAGAATGAACACACCTCTTTAGAATCCCACTAAGGATGAACACCTTCCTAGAATCCCACTAGGGATGAAAAACATCTCCTTTGCCACCAATATACAAAGGATGAATATCTCCCTAGAATCACACTAGGGATGAGCACTTCCTCTGAATAAATCAAATGATGAATAACAAAATTAATTAACTTAAACTTCTTAAACCCACAAAGGATGAAAGAGTAAGATAAGAATATTCATCCATAAATGATGAAGCGAATAAAAATAAGAATAGTCACACCTGGGAAATAGAGACAATAAATTGTAAAAGTCTGTAGAATGATAACATCTAAGAACACAATGTGATTAACATGAAAGCGCGGAAGGCAGTACAGAAAAGTTTTCTTAGAAAACCTAAAAGTGTTTTATTGCATTGCTTAGAATTCTTTTCTCAAAACTGATTGAATGTAAATTGTATTTTCGAATTCTGTAATTGTGTGTTTTTTATTTTCCATCAAAACTTAATTAAATAGAAAAATAACATTTATTCAAAAATCAGGATATATTCAAAAACATTTATTCTTCAAAACAGATATATTTTTAAATTTCAAACTGTTGTAATCGATTATCTCCTCAGCATAATCGATTATGTCGGGGTAAAAATCAATTTCTTAATTCTGATGCATCATAATCAATTAAGACAGTGAAAAATGTCATGTTAAGAAATTTTATCACACTTATGCTTTGGAGGCTTATGCATAATATTACTTCATTAACTGATACCTCCATATCTAGTATTCTAAGACTCTATCTAGTCTTCAGGAATCATCTTAGGCTTGCTTAATGTTTGAATTAAATCTTTATCAAAATCATATCTTGGGCTTGTTTGATTCTTGAATGTTGTTGACTTGAATTATTATCAAAATAATCTCTTAGAAATGTAAGGAAATATTTCACATTATCATCAATCTCCCCCTCATTGCTTTCAATCTCCTCCTTTTTTATGATGATCAAGGAAACACCTAAAATGAATTAAAATGCTTGACTCTATATAGCTAGTTCAAAATTAACACAAATTTGCACAGTATATTTAAACTTCCCCTATATATGTTAATAACAAAGTTTCCCCTAACTCATCTGAGCAAATTTTTTCCTAACTCCCCTTGTTTAATTCATAATTAGAAATGCATTTCATACAGATTTTAATTCATACAAAAATCTCTCCCTGAATATATTAATAACAAGACTCCCCTAACTCATATGAGCAAAAACTTCTCTTAACTTCCCTTGTTTAATTCAGAGATAGAAATGAATTTAACAAAAAATATTTCAAGAGAAAAAAAATCTCTCTTGTTTCATTGATAATAAAAAAAATATTGTAATAGAAAAAAATCTCCTCCTATTTCACACAGATTAATATTATCAAAATTTATTTCTTTTTCATTGATAATTATGAAAAATATTACTTCATCAACTTGTACCACCATATCCAGTATTCTAAGACTCAATCTAATATTTAGGAATCATCTTGTGTTTACTTGATGTTTTAATTAAATCTTTATCAAAATCATATCTTGGGCTTGCTTGATTCTTGGATGTTGTTGACTTGAATCATCATCAAAATTATCTCTTGAGAATATAAGAACATATTTCGCATTACTATCAATCTTCCTCTTATTGCTTTCAATTATGGTTTAAATTAAATTAAGCCTAATTTTAAGATTTAAAAGTTAATATTAATTATTATTTTAAATTAATAAATTATTAAATATAAATAATGATAAGGAAAAGGGAATTTTTAACTCTTATTATATTAAGTAGATACATTATCTTATAATTTTTATATTAAATTATTATATCTTAAATAAAAATTAAATTTATTAATATAATATAATTTACAAATATTTTTTTATATAAATATTTTTAATTAATAATTTTGATATAGATATGTGTCTTTTTTTTAATAAAATCAAATATAAATTTAGAGTAGACTAAAAATTATGACCTATTTTAAAATAGAGATCAAGTTGATCATCAATTTTTTTCACTTGTCATATTAGATTGGTTTGTACACTCTATAAGGTGTCAAAATAAACTTAATTCAATGGGTCGACCCAAAAGATCAGAAAAATAGATCAAGTTAGATAAAAAAAAATACAAATTTGTGTCTTAAATTAAATTATACTTATTTTGATATGTTCTATTTAGATCATGACTTATACGTGTTTATACTAAATTAATCCATAAATTTATAAGTTTACCCGTTTTTATAAAATAATAATTATTTAAATATAAATAAAAATAATATTATTTTATTAAAAATATATGGATTATATATTAATTTGTCATTAATTTACTTATTTTAAGAATACATATCAAAATAAATTTTTAATAATTAATTATTCCAAAAATAAATTAATAAATTACCAATAATAATAATAATAAAGAATAAAATTTTAATTCTTATTTTGATATTAAATTAATCATTTATAATTTATATATTAAATTATTATATCTTAAATAAAAATAATTTTATTAATAAAATTTTAAAATATATTTTTATTTTTATTTTAAATATTTTTTAATTAATTGATTTTATATAGATACATTAGTATTTAAAAAAAATATTATATTAAAATTGGTTTGTTAATCCGGTACATGTAGGATTAATAATTAACAAATTGAAATTGAGATACATTTTGAGAAGTAATTAGTAGAGATAGTTATAGGTGTTTATTGCGCGTAAAAAATAATGCAATGAATTAATGTTGTTAGAATATGAAAGGTAATTTATTATTCCTTATCATCCGCAAGGTCCTCTTTTTCCATACTGTCTGGTTAGTATCAATTTACGTATACAAGTTGGAAACGACGGCAAGAAATGAGTTGAATGAGATGTACTCGTACTATACGTATATTCGCTCTCTTAATCACTCTTGTTCGTACGAAAAATCAACAAACATTGTCATCATCTGCATTGTGATGCCAATTGTCAAATTAAAGACTTTGATAATGACTACTATACCATAACTAATGTTTAATAAATCATAATTATAGAAAAATATAAACAATAATTCTTATTCAATAACTCCAAAAAACAAAACTACAATCATGAGATAACAATAACGTGCCTCCTCAAAATTTCACCCAAAATTAATTATTATGTCTCAAAATAATATCATTACTTGGAAAAGGTTATAATTCGTTATCACTTAAAATCACAAAACTATCTTTTTGGTTTAATTTTGTTCCAAATTATTTCAAATTTGTACCCATATACTTTCCCTAAACATAACGTATTGATAACTAGTTATCTAATTTTACTGTAGTTATAATATTTTTATAAAATTATTCGTAAATAATTAATATACGGAGAGAAAATAATAGTATTAAAATCTTAATTTTCAAAACTAAAATGGTCAAATGATCTTCGTAAGAGAAAAAAAATCGTAGTATTTCTTATTTATGAATTAGTATAATTAAGGATATTTTGGTTATAATAATAATAATAATAATAATAGAATAAGACAATTGAAATAAAAAAACTTTTATAGAAAGAGATAAAGAAATTTCAAACACTTCAAAAAAGTCTTAAAAAATTAGTATCACTGGGAATATTTTAAGTTCGTACACAAAGTGAAATGATTAGATTTATTAAGAGTGTGAGTTGGTAATGAAGTTAGTTAAACAAATTATAATTAGGATTATAGTGGGATTATGTTTTGAACTCAAGGTATCTTTTAATCCAAAATTAAAAACTAATATTTCAAGATATTAAATTTATTTAAGGGGTAATACATCTAAACGTGCCCTTTGAAATGATATCAGAATGCTTAATTTGTATTTAAAAACATGCTCCACATCTTTTACTCTTTTTTTTTTGTTTCTTTGTTGCGTCTTTTTTGTACAAGAAATGATTTATGTGACACGCAACTAGCTGTGCGTGTTTTTGCCGTGTGAAGGCTGACAACAAGAATTTTTCTTGGGCCTGGTTTCGTAAGTCAAATGTTGATGGATAGAACTTTGGCAAGACCATTATGCCATGATTTTTATTGAATTTGGCTTTGAAGTGATGGCAACGATTATTCAAATAAAGAAAAGAAAACACAATAAAACTTGTTCTTACAAGTCATAAGATAAGAGTTTGTTTAAATTTGATTTTAGATCAAATAATATATTATTAATAAATAATAAATAAATATAAAAAAATAAAAAAAAAATGAAAAAATTAGAAGATAAAATTATAAATATATTAAATGATTATTAAGTTTAAAGTTTAAAATAATAAATTATATAAAAATTATAAAATTAAGACGATAAAATTATAAATATATTAAATAATCATTAAATTTGAAGTCAAAATTATAAATTATATATTTTTAAAAAACTATTACCCTCAATTTCAAAACATATATTCATTGAATAAGTCTTAATATAGTGGTTAAATGTTTTTATAAAAGTTAATAGTGAGTGTCAATAGAATCAAGCTTCAGGAACAAATTGACAAGAGTAAGAATGTCAAAGTAATATATAGATTATTGGTGAAAGGTTTGTACATTAGGACATCAATTTGCCATAATCAATAACCACATAATTGATTTTACCATCATACATTTGCAAAACCACCTTCTCAAGTTTCATGACATTACATTTGTCATCCCAAACAAGAGTAGTAAGATTTAACAAAATACACCACTTGTTTTCAACATCTTATTATTTATCACACTAATATTTTTCTTCTTCTTATAGTAGTTTAGGATCTCTATTTTTGTAGATATTGTTCTTGAAATATATTTTTGTTTCAAGAAATTATAAAAATCAACGTGAATTATGTGGGTAAATGGTACCGGTAGATAGAGGTGAACCAATAATTTTAAACGACCAGACTAATCTATTAAAAATAATTATTATATAAAAATAAATATATCAATATAAAATACTCAGTGATATGTTCAACATTATTAACTAAATTTAAACTTTCAAAAAGTAAAATTTATTTCATCATCTATTATATTTTTACTCTTAAAAAATGAGTTTATATTTTTTTTAGACATTTTTAAAACTCAATCTAATTTTTTTTCCACATTTTAATATTAAAATAAAATATTAATATAATTAACTAATTTATAATAAATAAAGAAAATAAAGAAAATAATTTTTTTACTGTTTATTTGTTTCAAGAAAATTATTATGAAAATAAAAAAATATAATTTTTATGCGATAGAGATAAAAAATAGTAAAATTTGAAATCTAAGAGAAAAAAATTTACAAATTTTATCTTTTAAGATAAAATCATAAAATAGAAAATATAAAACGAAATGAATGATAAAAAAAAGATAGAAATGTAAAAAAAAAAAAAGAAGTTGAAATGAGAAAATAAGAAAGTGAGAGAAGAAAAGATAAAAATTTGAAAAAAAAGGAAGAAAATGTAAATAAAAATATTTATTATATATAAACATTTAAATATAAAATTTATTATATATAAAAATTTAGGAGAAAAAATAAAAAATATTTATTTATTTATTTATAACATTATTTTTATTTATTTTAAAAAATTATTATTATATATTAAAAAAATGGTGGGGTGGACAGGGGTGTGACCCGCTGACGCTTCTTAAATCCGTCCTTGTTGGTAGACATAGTGAAGTTATTGTCTCTGACACTAACACTTATGATGCTAGTGAAATTGAAAAAACTTGAATGACAACTTTTTATAATGGTTACAATGTATATAAAAAAAGTGAAATTTTTTTAATATGTTGTATGTATCTATATTTGTTGTAATACATACACTTTATAAAGATATTACTCTTAATTTTTAAAATGTTTGTCACACTAGATAGATAATTGACTCACTTAATATGTTGGAGGTTAATTTAATTCTTTACTAATAAATAAATAAGGTTTCATTGAAAGATGTAATTCTCAATTAAATAATGATCCTTTTCTTAAATAAAGAATATGGTTTACTTTAGAAGGGTTGAAGAGATCTGAGACTTCATTTTTTTTGAGGAAATTGATAGGTTATGTGCGACTAAGGTAGAAGAGTATATAAAATTTAAATTATATTAATTCACCTCAACTCTTAAATTAGGTCAAAATTTCTTTTAAAAAACTCTTAAAAGCATTTAATATAATTAACCTGATTATAACAAATTACCACTTTTTGACTATAAGAAATATATAAATATTGTTGACTATCATCCCTTCCTAATCTTTTTGCTAAAATTAAAAACAATAAATATTCTTAACTATTACTCTTAACTATAAGAAAAAAAGTGTTTAAGGGAGAAAAGCTACTTTACAGGATATACGATAAAATATTGTTGATTGAGATTACCATGACATAACCTACCAACAAGGGCCACATTAGTGGGCACCATAGAAACAAAAAAGTTGTAAGGGATAGGATCCAGAGAATGTGAATGATAAGTGCAATTACAATGTCTTGCACTTGAGTGCAGTATGAATGAGAGATTAAGTTGAACTAATCATCAATAGATGCAATGGAGGAAAGAGTGTCAATTATCAACCCAAGCATCAGTGACTCTAGCATTCAAAGTTGCAGTAATGTCTTCCAATATGTGTAGCAGATCAACCAATACACCTAACTTACACCAATGATCATTTAAAAAATGTATATATTATTCCCAGAACCAATGACCCAAAAAGAGTTGGCTTTGATTATGTCATATATCTTTTGGCAATAATATCATTCCTGATGAATTGAGCCTTGACAAGGCTACCCCAGGCAGTATTACCATGAAAACACTCCCAAGCTAACTTCAACATAGCAGTTTGATTCTCCTTAACAACAAATATCACCCCAACACCACCCTCAGTCTTAGAACGACAAACTTTGTCCCTTTTTCCAGTCACTAATTTTCTAATCCATTTATGAATCTCCTTAAGAGTAGAAACAGGTGAGTCATAGAATATAAAATTATAGCTAAGTGAATCTGCAATGACAGAGTTTACAAGTTGGATTCTTCCCATAATGTTCCATGTAGCAAACTTGGTTCGGAGTTTGTCCATCAATCTCCTAAAGTAACCAACCAACCTCAGGGACACCTTTGAAAATCGTAGTGCCAAAATAAGAAAAAGGTGTAGCACTGGTATTGCCCCTGTAGAAATGACATTATTGATTAGATTCTTCACCATATTGTTTAAGCAGTAACATAAGTTTATCAAGGCTCCTTTTATTGGCTCTGCAAAAAATAAGGACATCATCAGCAAATAGAGTATGGAAAGAGAAGTGCACACCTTTAGTTCCTGCCATAAAGTAGAATTTGTTTCTGCAACCAGTGTGCTAAGGACTTCTTCAGACAGACAAAAAAGCGAAGGAAAGCCTTACATAACGAGGATAGTGTTGATCCGTTGCAGAATAATTTTTAAAATTTCTAATACGTAATATGTGAATACTTTTTTAAATTTTTTTTTTGCGTTACATTGTATTTTAATTTTAAAATATATCATTAGTATTTTATTTTTGTTATTTTATTTTTTTTAATTGATGTGTGAAATATAAAAAAATCATTATTAACTATCTTTTATTTCTAATTCATATTAATTTTATTCAATTTTAATTTGGATGTTTTAATAATTAAATAAATTATTTAATTAATATTTTTTAAATCAATTACAAAATTATTATTATTATTTTTATCAATTCCTTCCTGATCCAAACACAATGTTAAAGATAAATAAATATTTTTTAAATTTAAACTCAATTACGCATTGTTAAGTTTTGTGATCCATATTTTAAGAAAAAAAATTGAATGATTTTTTATCACTTAAATTTAATATTTTTTATCTAGTAATAATTAAATATTAATAAATAAATTTTAAAAATATTTTTTCTGTTTCACAATCGTCTTTTATTTCAAAATTTTTCTTATATATTCTATCATAACATAAAATAAAATAATTATTGAATTACATTTAACAATAAATATAAAATTTGACTTGAAATGGAAAAAAAATTCAAAAGATTTTATTTAAATTTATTGAAATTCTAAAATTAAATTAAAGTATTCAGAGACATTAAAAAAAATAACAAATTGATATTTTACTAAAGTAAAAGTACACCTATTGATTCTTTTGGTACATAACACCTATTCTCCCGAAAACGATGGGACAGTGTAAAGGAATTAAATAATATTAACTATTATCTTTCTGCTTAAATAATAAAACATATTATGATTAATCAGCTTTATTTTATCTTTACTTAAAGAATATAGTGCTGATATTTATTTAATTTCGTGCATATTTTACATACAAAACAAAGAAAAAGAAACGTACCCAAATAAGCTATGAAAAAATAAGATATTTTTACCCAATTTTTTTTGTCAACTTTCTTCAAAGTTTCAACCTTGGCCCTGCATGTGAGAACATTATCTTTGGATTTTGGGCTTAATTTCAATTATTTTCTTGTTTAATAATCAATCACTTTATATATCATTAATTGTTATTTTATAAATAAAACACAAATAAAAATATTTTCATTTTTCGTATTCTTTTTCAAAAATTGGCTTAAAATTTTAAATTTATTTTATGTTAAAAATATGATTTAGGAAGTTAATTACTAGATAGATAAAAATATTAAAAAATATATTTTTGATGAAATAGCTTTTTTTATATTTATTTCCTTTTTTGGTAAATGACATTATTTATATAGAAAATGATATTTTAAAAATTGTCATTATCATATAGATTAACTCTAATGATATTTTTTGTTGATAAGCAAAGTGTTAAGCATCATTAAAAGATAAACAAAATAAAATTCCCTGATTTTCAAAATTAAAAATATATTTAAAATTTAGAATAATATATAAAATGATTGACATTACTTTGTTTATAAACTGAAATACAAATAAAAAAAGTTGCCATATGAACTTAAATATAAATAAGTTTAATTATCTTTACTTATTCAATAATAATGTTTCTAAAATATCTTTCATTAAACAGTGAGTTTAATTCTAGACAAGATAAGATAGGTAAAAATAGTGGATTTGACATCAATAAATTAAATAATATTAATTCATTTTTTATTATAAAATTAATTACTTAAATTGATATTGGAGTTCAGAAGTATGATAAAAGCACGTGGGGACACAACAACACAGGCATCGACTTAATTAATGCAGTGATCTGTTGTGTGTGGCTCCATTAATTTGGGTTAAACCTATTCTTTTTATGGTTAATTTCTAAGAATATTAAAAATATATTAAAAATAAGAAAAAAAGAAGTTACAAAAATATAATAAAGATTATTTCAAGTTTAATTCTTATGAATTTTAACACTAGTAAAATAAATATTAATATTTATCATTCGTTGAAAGTTTAATTTTTTTTTAAATCTCGATAAACTAAAAGAAAATTATCAACTCCTAATCCATACAACCAAAAATATTAATAATTTTTATAAATAAATTCACTCAATTAAATTATGTTTTAAAACTAATTGAATATACTAATTCTTTATATATATATATATATATATATATATATATATATATATATATATATATATATATTTTGTTGACTTGGACAGTGACATAAGGTGTAAGGTTGAACGGGCATCAAGCAGTAATGAACGTTTGACCCCTTTTCAATAAAAGAATATAATTTTTTTTTAATTCCACTGACATTCGTTGTATTATTGTATATTTGAAGAATATTATTTTCTTTAAATATGTGGATGAAAATCGAGAAATTAAAATTATAGACATAAAATTAATGAAACTTAAAATAAATAAAATTTAAGAGCACTTAAAAGGAAACTCACATGAGTGAGAAAAATAAAATAAAAAAGGAGTAGCAGAGATAAGATATTGACATAATACTAATGTTGGTCAAGTAAGAGGTCAAGAGGAAAGTTCTTACTACACAAATTTGGTAGATGGAAATTATAAATTGAAATGGGTAATGGAAGAACATAACACAAATGTTCATATTAGAAAACAGCATGGGAACCAAGTTGTTGCAGAGGATTGGTTAGTTAAATTGCCTATCAACTGCATGGGTCCATATCAATTGGTTGTTGTTTTGTTATGGACAAAAATTGACTTGGTTATTTTCCTTTACAAATTGAATAAGTTAATAATTGTAATAATATATTATAATATTTATTCATAATTAAAGCTTTTAAAATGGAGGTTCGGTGCATACGAATGGCTGAGTAAATTTTTTTTCTGATGGAACATAATTTTTAGTTAAATCTAATCTTATACTGATTAAAATTTTAAAAAATAATTATTATATTTATGTCAAAATAAATAATTTTAATTTTTTTTAATGAAAATAAAAAAAACATATTTTTAAAATTTAAATTATATTAATAAAATAATTTTTATTTAAAATATAATAATTTAATATATAAATTATAAAAATTTTTATCTATTAAAATAAGAATTACAAATTTAATTATTATTATTATTATTATTTTTAATAATTTATTAATATAAAATAATAATTAATCTTAATAATTAAATCTTATAATAAATAATTCTTATTTATTCTTAAAATAAATAAATTCTTTATAAAATTAATTTATAATATATATATATATATATATTATAAAATAATATTATTTGTATTTTATTTAAAAATAATTATTATTTTATGAAATAGACATAGTTACATAATACACAGAAAAGACTTTCAATTTCATTCACAAATTATTCAATAAGAACCTGACTTATTTAAGTCTTTTCATCAATTGAATTAAACTAAATTAAATTTATTTTTACACTCCTATAACACAATAATTATATGTTTAAAAACTACTTTTAAAAAATATATTTTTAGAAAATTTTCTTTATAATTTATTTTTCTTAATCTTTTGCTTCTTAGTTTCATTTATATTAAAAAATAATTTTATGTTTAAATTGAAATTCCATATTTTTTAAAAAAACTATTATTATATATATTTTAGTTACATGAGATAAATAATTGTCTTATGCATCACACTGAAATATATGTTCTTAAATATTACATAAAAATTGGAAAAGTATGTGTGTGTCCAATTTCAATAAAATATATTTCTTTCTAATCTTTTATTAAACTTGTGAATAAACACTTTCATGATTTTTTTTCATTTTATCTAACAATATAAAACTATGTGATATTAGTTTAATGATCATCATATATTATATTTTTTTATGATTTAAATATTTACGAGTTTAAAAATACAATACTTTCCCATATAGTAAATACCATATTTTCCATCAAATAAAATAATTAGATAAAATATGGATGAATAATTGGATTGGTAGAATATGCTTTATAAAATCTTATTAAATTGGACAATAAGATAATTAACGTTTATTTCAAATCATAACATTACATTATGGTTAATAATATTCGCGTAGGAACACAATAATTAACAAAGCCATTTTTTATTGAATTAAATAAAATATATTTCATTATATTTTGATATTTATAGTAACATGCATTTTTCAAATCAAATAATTATTAGAGGGAAAAATAGAAGTTAATGCTTAAGTTAAAACATATAATGTTACATTGAGCTAACAAACTTAGTTTGTATATAGTTGAAAGGCCGAAGCCAAGAACAAGAGCGTGAAAATTAAAAATATATAAAATTCATTTGGAAGAAAAAAGAATTATTGTAAGTATCAATTACCTATGGAAACTTTGAAAGCACAAAGTTGAGACAATGAAAGTTATTATTTAAATTGAGACATTTATAACATGCGTTCGTACAAAAAATAAATAAATAAAAAACAAAGAAAAGAAAAGGAAAAGCATTTACCGTGTCAATTTTGAAGGTTCAACAGAAGCGAGTAAAAGAAGTGAATTCACCGTCAGATGATCGTTCCAAGAACGTGGGAATTCATAATCGCAGCACAGTGTACGCCGAGAAGAAAATTTCAGAGTTGGGTCTAAAGGCAAGAAAATTCATCTAAGGGTTCCTAAAAAGTAATCGTTTCAATGGGGCAATGGGGTCTTCGTCTAGACCCAAAGAAAAGATCACAAAGTTTGAAATTCCAAGTAGCAACAACTGTTAACGACCAACGACCAAGTCGTCGTTTCCACATACTTGCATATTAATTCCACCCTTTTTTCAGCGCCGTGCAAATGGAAACACATATACATGTGTTCTTTCTGTCATTACTTGCGATTTTTCCTTTTCCTTTTCCTTTTACAACAAGAGACACCACAGCACCAACGTAGAAGCTTAGTACGAACCTTGCACTGTCACCAACATATAATTATTAGTATATATCACCCCCTTTCTTTATTTTCAAATTTCACCCTATGACAAACTGGAACACCTAGGAACAATGGAAGAGGTAATTAACTCCATTCAACGCGCTTCTAGTTTGGTTCAAAACCTCGAACAAGACCTATCCAACTTGGTGAACCACCCAGGTATGCTGTCCTTGTCCATTGATGAGATAACTGAGGCATTCACTGCTGCCAAGGACAGGCTGTTGCTAATTTCCCGACAGAACCAAACGCCGGAATCTCCTCCTACGTTGCTTCATGAAACCGCACCGCTGGAGCCTCAGATGGATGCTACCGTAATGCAGGAATGGTTAAGGTCTAGTCATCAGTTGTTTCAAATGCAACAGCTTCATGCTGCGAGGAGCACTTTGCAGATCGGTGAAATGGGAGGAGGGAGAGAGGTGGAAGATTCCGAGAGAACCATGGGATCTGAAGGAGATCAAGTGCAAGGAATCCACGCATCTTCTTCACGACCTCGAAGACGGTATATATATTATATATCTGTTCATCTTTTTCATAGTAATTAACTAGTTTTAACAAACTTTAACAACAAACTTTTAAACTAATTAACCTTTTATTGTTAACTGAGATTTATTTTTTGATTCAGATTCACCAATGACACTTTATTAATTAATATTAATATAACGAGTGGTTGAAACTAGTTAAGGGTTTCTTGAGCATACAGTACAACCTTGCACCACGGGCAAGTAGGTTATATGAAACTTTCAATGAATAATATCATTTTGAATAGTACAAATATCCTTCACAGAGTGGCTTCTTGGTTTGACTTATATCTCTCCTTGTACAAATTAACCAGAAGCAGGGAAGGTAATCAAGAGAAGAAAAAAATATTGGTTCCTGCCCCACGTTTTGGAAACACAGAGCTGCCACCGGACGATTGTTTCACTTGGAGGAAATATGGGCAGAAAGAAATACTTGGATCCAAGTACCCAAGGTAATGGTTGGTTGGTAGCATAGTATATGTATAGTTGCTAAAATAGTTACACCACTTTATCACTTCAACTTATTAATGCAACTTACATCAAGGACACCGGGTCTTTTAGCTTGGTTTCTTCTTTCCTCTCAAGTGTTTTTGAACCAAAATATCATAAAGCTACATTTAATATAACACAAACAACGTATCTGCCAACATTGAAACGGCCAAATTGGAAATCGATTTTGACAGATTCAGTACCCATGCAAAGCATTGCTTCTGTCTGCGACGTAATCACTAAATTACTCATTTTTTTTTTATGCCTAACTTTTGATTCTGATATTTCTTGTTTACTTAGAAAAGTCAGCAGCAAATATATACATATAATGAATAACAAGTGGCTGGGGCATTTCAAGTCATTTAATTTATGGCATGACCACTTCATAAGCAAAATTGATCTACGAAGACATTCTTTTGCATTTACTACAACTGTATCAACCCAGTAAACAAAAAACCACGTTGAAAATGCCTTCATGGCTTGATGAAATCATCGAGTTACCTAGAAATAGTTTTATTCATAATTCTAACGATTGCTTTTATTGAATACCTTTGACTAATAGTTTCTTAGGTTAACATTTTCCATAATGAAATAACTTGATTGGAAATGGTTCTTGCTTTCTCCTTTCCCAGGAGTTACTACAGATGCACACACCAGAAGTTATATGAATGCCAAGCCAAGAAGCTCGTGCAAAGACTTGATCATAATCCTAACATATTTGAAGTAACATACAGAGGGAATCATACATGCCATATGTCCTCCACAGCACCATCGTCAGTTCCACCACAACAACTTCTGTTGGACATGACACAAAATAGTAACACAATTTCTGTTCAGTTGTCTCCGACAACGAATCTCAGCCTCAATCCAGGTGTTGGTGGTGGAGCCTCCACCTCAAGATACGGTGGTGATTGTCCTGTGGTGGATATGGCTGATGCTATGTTCAACTCCGGTAGCAGCAGCGGCAATAACAGCATGGAATTTCTCTTCTCTCCCACTGAAGATAGAAGTGATGCAAATTGAAAAGGACAAGTGCTAAAGAATAGTTTGGCTTCAAATAAAACAGAAATATTACGGTAGGAAGGAAGCAGATTTACATAATCCTACTTAGAATTATATAATCAATGAGTTGAATTAAATGAATAACTTGTAGAAAGATTTTAATGCATGTTTTTTCTTTTTTAAATTAAGTTTTGTTTTAATTATATATATATATATATATATATATATATATATATATATATATATATATATATATATATATATATATATATATATATATATATATATGTCCCATCTAACGTTCCTCTTGTTTTTCTTTTCTATATCTACTTTTATTTGATTTACATATGTTAGTACTGTTTTAAATATATTTATTATATTTTGGTCTATTGAATCTTTATTTTTATAATAAAAATTGTATTCTTTTAATCTTTCAAATTAGTGTTATTATAATTAAATGATATAATATGATAGATAAAATGTTATCATGAGAAATATACGGTGTCACGTATCACAGCACATAAAAGTTTATCTGCCATGTGTATGAAGATAGAGGGATTTGAATTCTTTTCCTGCTTATTATCATTGATTATGTGTTCACTGTTTATTAAAATTAAACATATAAAAATAAATTATATACACATTACTATAAAAAACTTATATATATATATATATATATATATATATATATATATATATATATATAATACTGTAAAAACAGGATCTCATACGAGAATTTAAATGAAGAGAATTTAAACCAAAGTTTTTATTGTTATAAATAGGATTAAGTATGTTTTTAATCCATGTATTTTCATGTGAAATTGAAAATAGTCCCTCTGTCAAAGTTCACATAAAAATGATCCCTATACTTTTGAAATGATTGGAATAAATCAATGTTTAAAACAACGTTAAATATATGATGACCTGTCTAACAGAGATAATATGACATATTCATTATTTGACACATGTAATTATTTAAAAAAAAAAGCAAAACTTCTTCTTTAAAAAAAATAGAAATTATTCAACATATATTATTATTTAAAAACAAAAAAATTAAAAAGTATAAACTTTTCTTTTCTCCTCACGCACCAAAACTCTTCAGTTTTTGTTATAATCACTTTTCATTATCTCTTCTTTTCTCGTCACACACCAAAAGTATTTTCTTTCTTCCCCCTTTTCTGTAAAGTTTGTGTGACTTTGAAATTCGAAGGTTCCATCGATTTATTGTAGTTTGACTAATAGTGCAACGGTGGTACACAACGGTAGTGTGCGACGGTGGTACACAACGACAGTGTGCGACAGTGGTACATAACGACAGTGTGTGACGGTGGTATAACATAGCTAGGGTTTTTATTTCTGAAAATTAAGGTATGTTTTTTCATTTACGAAACTAAATGTTTATTTTGTGTTCTAATGCATGCATTTGGGGGGTTTTGTTAAAATGATTTAGGGTTTTTCTCGTACATTGTTTGAATCCATTTTTCACATTGTAGGATTACAATGAGTTTCTCTGTAACATTTCACCACATGGGTAAATTTGTGAGGTTGAAGAATTTGCGTTACGAGGGTGGGGAGAAACATAAGATATGTAATGTTGACTCATATATGTGGTCTTATTTTGAAGTCGTGGGCATTGTAAATGAGTTTAAATATATCGGTCAATTTAAGTTATGGTGGAAATTGAGTACATGAACCCTGGTTGAATGTGGCTTGGTTGAATGTGGGATAAAATTGAAATATGATTCTGGATGTTGTGGATGAACATTAAAAAATAAAGACCATTTTAAAAAAGTGCAAAATCTAGTTCATTTTAAAGATGAATTGTATTTAAATTCAAAAGGAATGATCTAGACATAGATCCATTCTTAAATAACTTTCAAATGCTTTAAATTTGGATTTAAATAGCTTATAAATGGTAGATAAGTTTAAATTTCTTTTTAAATGAATTTTAAATGTTATAAATGTAGATTTAAATGTCTTTTAAAAGCTTGTCACCTTTTAATTTTATTTTATTTTATTTATTTAAATAATTACACATGTCAAATAATGAATGCATCATACTATTTCTGTTAGACAAGTTAGCATGTACTTAACACCGTTTAAAATATGGACTTATTTCAATGATTTTAAAAGTATAAAAATCATTTTTATGTGAACTATGACACAACGACTATTTTCAATTTCACATAAAAATATAATGACTAAAAATATACTTAACCCTTATAAATATTATATCATATAACTATATAGAGTATGTTATCATGTAAATGATTTGTTTTTGTTTACTCTATAATACGATCTTTAAAAGTAATTAGAAAATTAGGATTAAAATAATATAATTTTTTCAACAATTTAAAGATATAAATTATTTTTATAAATATTTATTTATTATTTTTTCCTTGCAATTTTGTCCGTTAAATTTTTATAACAAAATAATAATATTTTTTTAGTTTTTCTTTTTTATAGAATGTTATATTAGTCGTATATGATGTCTTATTTATCATTTAATAAAAATAATAATAATAACAAGGGAAACTAAAATAGAAAATTTTGATATTACAAGAAAAAAATTCAAAACAAATTGAACAGCCAAAACTATAAAACAAATATATAGTGAGTTTAGGGTTATATATATATATATATATATATATATATATATATATATATATATATATATATATTATAAATCAAAATATTTTGTTTGATTTACTTTTCTAAAATAATAATTTAAGTATTTTGTAAACACTTAATTTGTATTTGAATTGAAAAGATGATCTAAGGAAGTAAAAACTGAGAAAAGAAGAATACATGGTGGGATTGTTTATATTAAAAAAAGAGTTGAAGGTGAGGAGAAATTAATAGAAAAATGTTAGATGATAAGATATATTTGATTAATAAAAAATTAAATAATAGAATAAATTAAAAAATGAGAAAGAAAATAAAAAATAAGATTATTTGAATAAAGAAAAAAAAAGTAGAGAAATTCTTAGTTTCCTCGTTATTGTTGTTTCATTAGTTTATGATTAAGTCAATTTATAGTTGGTCTCCATCATTTTTGTCTTAATCATTTTGTGTATTTATAAATCTTATGCCTCTTTATTTCATATATATATATATATATATATATATATATATATATATATATATATAATCTTTTCCTTTCTCTTTTCTCTCTTTTTTATGATTATTATCAATTTTACCTTTAAGAAAATATCGAAGTTCTTTTTTTAAAAGAGCCCTTTTTTTTTTGTCATCTTATTTTTCCTTCATGACTCAAGAAGCCATGCAAAATTAATTTGCATAGAATGCCTCTATCCATGACTTTCTTTACTTATAACGTAATTTGATCGCTTTATGGATGGTTATTAAGAATTGTCGATCTGGAAATGAAAGTTTCTTTTCTTAGGCAAGGTGACACTAGTTAAAAATAGACTTTTAACATCGGTTCCAGGGGTCGGCAAGATTCAAACCCAACACCTTAGAGTCGAAGGCTGATACTCAACCACTAAGCTACTAGGATTTTCTAATAATAACTTATACATAAATTATATTTATATACAAATAAAAATGTATATCCATATAAATATATAAATATAAAATATATAAATACAAATACAAATATATTTATATATTTTTATGTTGGATGTGAGAGCGTGCTCGAGGATGAAAGTGTGTGTCAGTGAATTTTCAAAATTTGATGTCAAATTTGTGAGCTGAGTCTCTTTATATGGATTATAACTTAATGACAAAATATAATCTTTATAATTTATTTATATAATGATATAAAATAATTTTTTTTCTTTATTTTATATCATTATATAAATTAATTATAAAGATTATATTCTATATTATTATAAATAAATTATAAAGATTATATTCTATTATTAAATTACAAATTCATATAAAGAGACTCGCTCACAAATTTGACATCAAATTTTGAAAACTCACTTGACACACACTTTCACTCTCGAGCGCTCTCTCACATCCAACATATAAATATATAAATATATTTGTATTTGTATTTATATATTTTATATTTATATATTTACATGAATATACATTTTTATTTCTATATAAATATAATTTATTTATAAGTTATTATCAGAAAATCCTAGTAGTTTAGTGATTAGAGTATTAGTCTTTAATTCTAAGGTACTTGGTTTGAATCCTACCAGTAACAATTCTCTTAATTTTATAAAAAGACTTTCTACATCGGTTCATCTGAGTTCTACATCGGTTCCTAACTAAACCGATGTTGAAAGTCTTGAATTCACTTTCTACATCGGTTCTTAAAGAACCGATGTGGAAAGACCGATGTTAAAAGTGATTTCTGTACTAGTGTGACTTTACTATTATTGAATTCTTTATAAAGATTTGTGTGATTTGAGATGAATTACATGATTTTCGATTTGTACTTATGTCACAAAATGCTTTGTATTGCTCTCTCTATCGTTCATAAAAAAAGGATGAAAACCATGTCATGCAATTTTTTGGAGGACTAAATAATCAATACAACAATATAAAATCTCATATTCTTCTCATGGAACCCATTCCCCCATTAACAAGATATGTTCTTATGTTTCTCAATAGGAAAGACAAATAAAGGAAATGACTCAATTGCTATATTGGAACTCAAGATCAACATTATTATGAGCTCAATTGGTTCTTGAAGTCATTATGGAAAACATGGACACATTGAGAGCATTTGTTATCATAAACAGTTTTTTACAAAAACATGACAACAAAAGTTACAAGAACCCCGAGAAGATTTGTACACACTATGGAAAGCTCGGTCATACCATTGATATTTGTTATAGAAAACACACATTTCTTCTTAGACACAAATTGTATAACAGGAAGAATAATATCGTGAATTGCATTAATAATGAAGTCAATCACACCCCTAATTAACAACCAATATTTTTGTCTTTCTCATCAACAACATTAGGCCTTGATGTCTCTGATTTTGTAAATCAACTTGGATATTCTTATAAAAACATGTCTCCTCTTGCTCAACAAAC